TGTAAATGAATCTTAATATATTGAAGTTCTGTTTTTACTGGAACAGGGTATGCCCTGTTCAAATAATAATGAAAAATGTTGTTATCTCTTAAAGTAATAATAGCATCTCTTAGTTTTTTTTGTTCTGCTTGAAATTTCAGCAACAAAGAGATTACATTATATCCTTTTTGGTGGGCGGGTGAGCTAATTTGGCAATTTTCCTCTTTGGTTTATGCAGAAATTGGATGCTTCAAAGGATTTGAATGGAGTTTATTGTAGGTGAGTGTGACAATCTGCAGCCTCACATGCATCATTAGCTTCTCTTATCCTGCAACAGGTATCTTGCTAGGTTCAATTATTTCTTGGCTTAGAGCAGCGGCGCAAGTAGAGAGAGAGAGAGAGAGAGAGAGAGAGAGAGAGAGAGGCTGTTTCCTGGACTGCAGCTCCTCCCATCATCTTGGCTTGCAGGTTGCCACTGTGATAGAGCCGAACGGGGTCTCGGGCCAGCTTGACACCTAGCTTCCAGTCCAGTCTGTTGCCAAATTAGCCCCTAGCTATAAAGGTTTCAGTACTTCAGCTCATGCATGTCATCATTTTGTTAATGTGTCAAAGTAAAGAGAAAATTGACGCATTGAGTTATTAATGAAGTGGTTTGGATGAGAACTGAAATCTTTCACTTTTAAGGCTGGAGATTGTTATGAACTGTGAGTATTCATAGAGATATTCAGATCAAATGAAGCAAAAGAAAGGCACATAGCATCTTTACATTGACAATGTGATTTTTAACCCATTGTGATACTGAAAACCTGATAAAGAATATATTTTATGACTGAATGTTTGACGTGGGGCTGGAAGAATTTCAGTTTTGTTTTCTACATAAATCTTCTATGTAGTCATGGTACTAAATATCCTAACATATACCCGTATGTTCTGTTTATCTCCTACAAATAGTGAAATGGTCTATGTGTAAAGTATTTATGTTTAGTTATATTTTGTTGTCGAGGATGTGTGGTTCTGGAACATGGAGATTAACATTGAAGCTTTTGGTATCTTGAATTCTTGTGCTTTGTTATTAACTTGATGTGATCCAATTTTTTCTATTTGGCATTGCCATTGGCCTGCTTTCAGTGTCGTATAACTAAACTCTTTTGGCTGAACTGGACGCAGATTAATTGTCCTGCCTTGCTTTTGGAACAAATTAAATGTATCTTCTTTTTCATGAGCTTGCAGATCAATTATTCTATAGATACTAATACACTCATTAGTTCCGAACAAGTACTGTAATTTCCGATGTACCAAATGATTTACAGTATAGTGAAATCTTATACGTTGGACCAATTTGATGTTTCTTCTTTCTCTTAAACCAGAAAAAATCATTGTCCTATTGAATATGTATGCTAAACCATGTTTCCTACTAACGCATCATATCATTTGATCATTACCTTCTTTACCACATTGTTGGGACATGCACAGGTTCATGTGAAGTGGTGCTTATGAAGATCATCGACAAGGCAGTTGAGTGGAGTCACTTATTAGTATGAAGTGACGCCTATGAAGTTGATCGACAAGGCAGTTGAGTGAAGCCACTTATTAGTATGCTTAGTAGTTCTGGCTTTGTAGTTGTGTCTCCTTTGTTACGCTTGTGGTATCAAACTTCCATGTCGAGTGGCTGCGTTTTTTGTGTCAATTTTCATGTCAGGTGGTTATCTTTTGTGGTCTTATGAACGCACTGAAACCAATTCTACCTTATAATCTCAAGCCGATACTGAGCCCATGTCTTGCTTCTATAATAGTTGAATGTTTCTTCTTCACTTTATTGTTATTATGTATGTATGCATATGCTAAATTTGGGTTACTACTAACTTAGCATTACATGCTTGATCAAAACGTTGGGACCGGCACCCCGCGCCATTGGCGCGATCCCGATCTAGTTATCAAGGAGAACACAATACAGGAGAAGAACAACAAGACACAAAATGCCATTAAAAAGTAAAATTATGTCAAAAATTATACTAGTCGTCTTTTTCCTTCAATTGGTCATCATCCATCAAACTTAAAAATAGATTAAACATGTTGCGAGGAATAGGGACACCTGCAAAAGCCATCGCGGTACAAGGCTTTGAGCACCAAAATAGCCACTCACCATGAACAAAGATCTAATAGTTATTAAAGAAACATCGGTTGGCGCAGCACCCCACCATTGCAAGTTTGCAACCCCTCGTCACCAATGAGGGTTGTAGAAAGCGGACACTGCCGTCGAACAAAATGAATGAAGAAGTCGAAGTCGAAGTCGATGCATCAACCAGCCAGTTGCTTCCCTTGTTAAACACACCAACTATCAAGATCCAAATAGAACCAACAGGCTGGTGACACCTTCCCTCACAGGGCCTTCATTAGCGTCGAATTGAACCCATCAAGGTAGAGAGAGACCGGAGAGACCATGTTCGAACGCGTCATCACTACCGCCACCTTGCCAATCCCACTTGTGCAACAAAAACCAAAGGAAAAATGACCTGAAAAAACGTCAAAGAGTGAACTAAGCCTAACTTAGATGGTTAGGTACTTAGGTTACTTTTGATGGAGCTAGCCTATCCAAGTTCAAGCCTCAGACTTAGCACGGGTGCTCGCATATTTTCTAGATTTATAACATGTTCTTCGGTGCTACTCTTTCAACGGGATGGCGTCTACATCAACTATAAGTTGTCTATGACAACTTCGTCAATCTTAAGATTCGTTAGCTCGGTCTTTTAGAGGTGCTCACAGGGTGAGTGTGCACGTGTGTATGTGCGTGTCTGCATTGTGTTTCTTGAAAAAAGCAATGAGGAGGACGGGCACCACCCTCTAGCCGGTGGATGGAAAAGAGGAGGGAGCTGAGATGGCAGTGGATGGGTAGAGTTTGGGGCTTAGTTTGGGGACTGGAAGTGTGATGATACATTCAAAGACATTAAAATTGTGCAATTTTCCTGTCTTCTTGACGCATTAATAGAATCTGCAATCATTCGATCATCATTTTTAGGCATTTTTGGTTATTCGATTAGCTATCTTTAATGTAACGTCCCCTCGCTACAAACAATCACTAAACGTGTTGGGTCTCTTCTCTATCACAATTTTGGATGTTTACATCAAAACTGGCCAAACGGGCCGGCCTGCGAGCACGCCGGCACGGGCCGCCATGGGCTAAACGGGCCGGGCCCAGCACGCAGCACGCCTTCGGCCATGCCTGGGCCTGTAGGCTAGGCACGCGGGCCGGCACAACACGGCCCGTTTATTTTTTGAAATATATATGTCCTATATAAATACCTAATACTCTAATATGTTCAACCTTTTTGTAGTGCTAGGATCTGAGTAGTACTGTTGTAGTGTAGTCTTTGTTTTTTTATCTTTTTCTAATTCTAGAGCATGTTTTTGTATTTTTTTTAATTCTTTGAGATGGAAGGTTTTAATGATGTAAGAGCTAATAAAACTCTAGATTCATCCGAAATAATACTTCACAGAATTTTTAAAATTTTCAACATTTTTTTGGCCTTTTCCCATGTTTTTCTAGTGTATTTTGCGAAAAAAAATAAATGCGCCGGCGTGCCTAGGGCCGGCCCATTTACCTCCCGTGTCGTGCTTGGGCTGCTGCCTGCAGCACATGGGCCGGGCCGGGATGGCCCGGCTATTAATCAGGCGGGCCGTTCCTGCCACGGCACGTTTATGGCAGGCCGGGCCGTGGTGTCCAGCTCTGGTTTACATTCGGCTAGACCGCTGCTCTGTTGAACATTTTTTTTTTGAATAAAGACACCCAAAGGGCATCTTAAATCTGATTATCATCGAGGAAAACAAAAGCCAGTACGATGGATAGACAACTGGACGTAGAACGACCAGTAAAAAATAAAATTACAATAAAAAGCATACTAGTCTTCTTCTTCCTCTGATTGTACGCTGCCCGCCGGTGATTGAAAATTGCACTAAACCAACAGCAAAGAAAAGCAACACCTGCAAATGCCCTCGCCAAACAAGGTTTTGAAGACCGCAATAGCCACTCGCCCCTTGAGACGAGATCTAAAAGTCGTTGAAGCAGCATCGGCTGGAGCATCACCCCAAGCAGAACAAGCTTGCAATCCACCACCACCAGGTCAGAGGGTTGGAGAAACCGGGTTAAGCCACAGAACAACACAGAAGAAGATGTCGTGGTCGCCACACCGAACGCCAGCCAAAAGTACTCCTTGAAAGACACACAAACTGTCAAGATATGAAGGGAACCAACCGATCTGGGGACACAAACTCTCACAGGCCCTTCGCCGGCGCCGGATCGGACGTCGTCAAGGTAGGAAGAGACCGGAGAGACTTTATTCCAACACGCCATCATCGCCACCACCTCGTTGATGCCGCCGGAGAAATCAATTCGTTGATGCCGCCGGAGAAATCAATTCGCATCGGACATCCATGAACTGAAACAGCGTTGCTGGCCACTGAGCCAACAGCCATCTCCCAAGTGGTATAGTAGCAGACGGTGGATCAGTTGCAAACAATTCATGCAAGAATGCTGAAATGTGTGTAAAACTAGTGACAGTAGAAGCCAAAATGAACAGTACCCAGTAGAAAATTGAACATTGCGCATGTATATGTAATAAACTTCAGTGTTTGTGATGGCATCTTGCAACCAATAGTTCAACCAACAGTAGCACATTGAAATCAATTATTATCATCACAGGCGAACACTAAGTTAGGCAATTGATTACACTGGTAATGGAGTAGCTTCTGACACGACACGCACAATACCATGGGACAACAGCAGTCATAAACACAATATCCAGTACAGTAAGTACATCACTTACTAGAGAGCTTCAGATTATTACAGACACGGTGGCTGAAATCACACTCAATTTACATTGTACAAGATGCAGGCAAACCTAACGCACAATTTTAAAGGAGGCAGAGTCTTAACTTATAGTGACGCTACATGTTCCGAACCACTAACTGTCCAGTCCACGCCATGTTCCGCTTGCAGTTGTGTTAGCGGCTGGGGCTGCTGCAGTTCAGGTGGCTGGGGTTGAGGTTGCGGCCGCGGCGGCACTAGCGTCGGCTGGGGTTGCTGATGGAGCTGCAGTTGAGATTGCGGGGATTGCTGGGGCGGCGGTTGCAGCAGCAGTGGTGCCGGTTGTAGATGGAGCTGCAGTTGAGATTACACAGGTTCCTGTGGTTGATCCTGAGGATTGAGGCTGCAGGGGTTGCTCAGGTTGAGCCTGAGGATACAGCTGCAGTGGAGGTTGTAGGGGTTGCTGTGGTGGAGCCTGAGTATACGGTTGCAGTTGAGGATGCAGGGGTTGCTGTGGTGGAGCCTGAGTATACGGTTGCAGTTGAGGATGCAGGGGCTGCTGTGATTGAGGATGATGCAGTTGCGATTGGGGTTGTGGAGGCTGCTGTGCTTGAGGATGCAGCTGCAGTTGAGGTTGTGGGGGCTGTTGGGGTTGATTCTGTGGTTCTAATGCAGGCTCCTTTGGTTTGGCAGCTCCATTGTTCATCCTTGCTCGGGCTTCAGCAAACATTCTCTGCTGTTCCGCAACAGCTTCTTCTTCAGTCATCTCTATACCAGTGAACTTGGTTGCTTTTGGAGAGTCCTGCGCAAGAGAAAGTGTCAATATACTCTGCAACATTAGAAAAGGGAACAGTACGCATAGTCTTGCAGGTGCACAGCAGTACAAACCAGAGTTTCAAGCTTGTGCTGTTCGTAGGCTGCATAAACTTCTTCAACGTACTCCTTGAAGCCAAGATCCTGTGGATAGAAAGATGATTGAGAAAGCAATTAGGATTCCACATGCAGGTTAGTAATATCTATGGCATGCGATGTCAGTTCAGTTCGTATCTTAAGGAATTAATTGACTAGTGTGGACGCTGATGATGAAAGACTGCAAGCCTCATTATGTGCTATTCTGGTCTATTCTCTTATTTCAGTCGCCATCTGTTTGAACTATGGTCAATGGCCATGTTTGTCCCCGATGAACAATTATTGTCTGTAAACTGTAGTGATTAACTGCCGTGATGGTTCATTCATTTTGAGCAGGCAAATCTGTTTGCCAGTTTTTGTCTGTAAACTGTAGTGATTAACTGACGTGATGGTTAATTCATTTTTTAGCAGGCAAATCTGTTTGCCAGTTTTTTTTAAATGCATATCTCATGCACCAAGCTATTGCCTAAATGCTAAATTGTAAAGGAAGATGGAAGGTGCATACACTGATTGGCATGATATTATTAAAGCAAAGTAGCTTAAGCAAGATTCGGTGGCCATGGTGAAAAGCAAGTTCTCTGATTCCCCTATGGCTGGTAGGTTCTTGGGTCAGGTAATATCGCTAGATTGTGGTTTGACTCTCTTAATGGGAATCAGGCTTTATATGTCAGGTTTCCTGAGCTTTTTGTCATTTGAAACCTGGCATAGTATCAATGTCAATGATTTCTTTAGGAGATGTCTGAACCCTATTTCTGGCCTCCCAATGTGGGGAGTTGTGTTCCTTTGTGAACAGGTTGAAACACTTCTTCTGACCCTGACAGGGTGGTTTGAGCTCTGGGCCCCAAATAAATCTTTACAACTAAGTCGATGTATGAGTTCCTAGAGAATAATATCGCGGGTTGCGACTTTAAGGGGTTGTTAGGTTAGCTAGTATTTAGAGAACCAGTTAAGTATGTATGTGTTTTAGGCCGTAACAAACTAAAACTTTGGTTGGGTAATCCAACTAATCCATGGATAAGTACTACTTGGTTTTCCTAATACCCAAAATCTGTGTTTATAGAAAAACGGGTCAGAGTCGTTTTTGCATATATGCGTTTTCAATAACACCTGATTTCAAGGAGCTAACAATGGATAAGTGGGCACCTATGTTGAGCACTCAGTCCAACGTAACAACCTGATTTATCCGCTTGATATTTATCCAAAGTCCAAAGAAGACCCAAACATGATTTTGTGCAAGTCCTTTCTTAACAGAAAAGTAAGTAAAACTGGTTTTGCTAAAAATCCTCCAAAAACTCGTTTTCTAGAAACAAATCGCTTATCATCGCTATCCAAACAACCTATAAGTGGATTTGGAGAGCTAAGATCCCCTCTAAGGTTCAAATCTTCCTTTGGCAACTTTTCCAAGACGCCGTGTTAACTACAGATGTTATGAGGAGAAACTGGGAGGGCAATCCTCGCTGCTCTTTTTACAGCGAAAGGGAAACGTCCCAACATCTCTGCTTCTTGTGTCCAGTGGCTAGGGTGGTCTGGAGAACCGTGGGACTAGTCTTTGGCACTGATCTTTGCCCTAATAATGTTTGGCAATATTACCCGTGGTGCTACACCTTTCTACCCAATGGTGGTAATTTTTTTACTTTTGGTCTGGCAGCTATGTGTTGGGCCATCTGGAATTGTTGTAACCAGGAGCACTTTGAGCTCAGATTTCCAAAAAACCCTTTTGAAGTGGTGTTCTCTTCATGTGTGTTTCTGGATTATTGGCAGGTCTGCTGAAGAGTGAGGATCAAGAGGCAATGCGATGAAGGGCAACGATGCTCAAGGATAATGCGAAGAACCCGATGCGCATTTGTGCTGCTGCTCAGGATGATGGAACGAGGAACTGATAAGGCGCTGAACATTCTCTGGGTGTCCCTGTAGGCCTCTGCTGGTTGTTTTCTTTTGTGCTGCTGTTTGCCCCTTGCGTGGGTGCGGTACTTTGGCTCTGTTCTGTCTCCTTGTTGGAGTGTTGGATATTCTCCTTTCCTTTTGTTAGGATAGTCTTTTGTGAGAGTGTCGTCAGGTTTTCGCCCCATGCTGAATGTGTCGATGACGCACATTCACAGTGGGTTTCCGGCAATGCTGAACTCCCTCTCCCTTTCCCGTTTCCTTTTGTGCTCGGTTTGGGTTCCGAACTGATGTATTTCCGCTATTCATTGATGGAAAAGGGGTGATGCCCGGTTCAAAAAAAAGAGCAGAAAATAACTATTGTGAAGGAAGATCATCCAGAAATATGTCTTAGAGCCCAGAATTTTGGGTTCAGGATTCTATTATCCACAACAAAACCTGCCTGGGTGGTTAGCAAACTGGTGGCTTTTGGCTGGTTCTCAGTTATTTTGGCTTTTTTTCAAAAATTCAAATTTAAGCTTTTGAAGAATTGATGATTCGATCATTTATAAATAAAATTCCATCTGTTCTCCAAAAATGAGGATCACACGAGCCCCCTTGAGTTGGCCCTTTATTAGAAAAAATATTCCTATGAACCGGTATTACTGTTTTCAGAAGGTTTTTGCCATGCCATTTTATATCACAGCGGCTCACCCTGGCGTAATAATCTAAGATATTATGAATTGCATTCAATTGGTTTTATCAGAACGTCAAAACAATATATGTTTATCAAACTATGAGAAATTAGTTAAAATGTTGATGCAATCATGTTCATAAAGACGACAAATAAAACGTATACTGTAACTAGTTTCCACAAATAAAAACACTAATGTAATCATGCAGTGCACTGTAAGTAGAAGGAGGAAACGGAAAGACAAAAAACCTGCAGAGCCCTAATAACATGTTCAGGAGCAATAGTCTTCTTGTCGTCCCGGCTGCACACGTCATTGGATTCCGAAGAAAGAAGATTGATGAACTCTGAATATATCAAAAGCACATACACAAGGTTAGATGATGTCCAGCTCCTGCCTATACTAACTGTCTCATATTGTCTTAGTATTCCTACCTACCTTCCCAGTGCATAAACAATAAGCATTGCCAAGCAAGTTAAGACGTTTTTGACACGGAGGTGATCAGGTGATAGTGTTTTTCATGGAGATAGCACCTCGGTGAAAGTTTGAAAACTGAGGACGACAAATATATAAGATGAAACAGAGGGAGTGTGTATTTCTTAATTACCTACACAGCATTCAACAAGAAGATCTTGTGTATCTCTTGCTACTCGAACATCAGGCGGTAGCATCTCCTTAATAATCTTGGTCATTGTTGCTGAAACGAAAAGCAGAACATTGAATCAATTATAACACTATAATCAAACCGTAGATAGAAAATGCCAGTCAAACACTTTAATCCAGGATTCAAGCAAATCAATATCCTCTAACAATTATTATAACTGATAGCCGTCCCCAAAAAGTTGCTCCCGTGGTCAATTAGAGTAGGTGGCTGCAATTCGCCGGAAAAAGGGCTCCATTACATAACTAATCCCATGTCCAATTGTAAGCGTCATGGGACGAAGGTCGCAACCCTAACTTTCCTCACCATACATATCGCTCATCTTCCCTGCCTCGTAATGGCCCCCCGGCTAGCTAGGTCGTCAATTTAGAGCATATCGCACACGACGAGGAAAAGGCACGAGCGAGCTTACATTTGGGGAGGGAGACGTCCTCCTTGGACTTGCCCACGATGTCCATCGGATCCATCCCTCGCCGTCGAGCGCGCGATGGAGCTTGAGCCTGGGGCGCCGACGGCGCGTCCCGCCGGGATCGATGGGTCCGGGCGCTGCTAGGGAGGGAGGGCTTGGCCTTCGGCGATGCGCCCTGAGACACGACCGGGTTGCAGAAGGGGATCGTAGCTAGGGTTAGGGTTAGGCGTGCGGGTCTGCGGGGAGCTCTCTGCGTCAAATTGGCCCCGACTCGCACAGAGCGTCCCCCGACTGGGCCGGCCCATGTAGCGAGTCCGCGGCCCATGTACTGTACCGTTTTTTTCTGTCTGTGAAACAGTTTGCTGTACATGTGTTTGTACCCATTTTGTTTTTTTTCCTGAGAGCAACTTCAGTTGTCTGAATGAGCTGAAATTTGGCATGGATCTCACGCACCGAAAGATCTTCCATAAAAAATATTCAGATATTTTTGAATTTTGATTGTATTTTTTTAATTTACTGTTCACCGGGTGCAGATGGGCCCAGCTTAGAATGGATATTCGTGGACATTGAGCTTATCATATGAGGTTTTATAGCAATAGTAAAAACACTGGCTCCTAAATCACATGGAGCGTTTTACTTGGTCATAACAATCTGTAATTCAATAGTTTACCCGCAAAAAAAAAATCAATAGTTGGTTCAAAATTTATCCTCACGTACCTTTGTTGTCACTTGGAGAATAATAGTACTTCAATTTGTGAGCATAACTGATCTAATTTTCTGTCCTTCACATTGCATTTTTACCATGGCTAGATGGAAAAAGGATCTGATTTTGGGCATGTTTTGGTTCTCCTTATGGTTGTAGGGAACCATAAAATAGTAAATGTTCCATAAAGTAGTAAATATTTTTGCGAAGTGTGATGTCTACTTTTTTCAAAAATTGCTATGATATGTTATCTTATTCAATTTTTCCATATGATATTGAAGTAAGTTTAGGGAATCTCCATCAGTGACCCGCAACTTTCCTCAGGCATCCTGATAACCCACAATTATAGGGGATCACAATAATTTTCGAGAGTAGAGTATTTAACCCAAATTTATTGATTCAACACAAGGGGAGCCAAAAAATATTCTCAAGTATTAGCAGATGAGTTGTCAATTCAACCACACCTGAACGACTTAATATCTACAGCAAAGTATTTAGTACCAAGTAGTATGGAAGTAACGGAAACAGTGGCAAAAGTAACAGCAGTTTTGTAGCAATCGTAACAGTAGCAACGGAGAAGTAACTTAGCAAAGATCAATATGAAACGAACTCGTAGGCAATGGATCAATGATGGATAATTATGTCGGATGGCATTCGTCATGCAACAGTTGTAACATAGGGTGACACAGAACTAGCTCTAGTTCATCAATATAATGTAGGCATGTATCCGAATATAGTCATACATATTTATGGAAAAGGACTTGCATGACATCTTTTGTCCTACCCTCCCGTGGCAACGGGGTCCTATTGGAAACTAGGGGATATTAAGGCCTCCTTTTAATATAGTACCGGACCAAAGCATTAACACTTAGTGAATACATGAACTCCTCAAACTACGGTCATCATTGGGAAGTGTCCCGACAATTGTCACTCCAGGGTTGCTGGATCACAGCACGTAGTAGGTGACTATAACTTGCAAGATAGGATCAAGAACACTCATATATTCATGAAAACATAATAGGTTCAGATCTGAAATCATGACACTCGGGCCCTAGTGACAAGCATTATGCATGGCAAAGTCATAGCAACATCAATCTTAGAACATCTTGGATACTAGGGATCAAACCCTAACAAAACTAACACGATTACATGGTAAATCGCATCCAACCCATCACCGTCCAGCAAGCCTACGATGAGATTACTCACGCACGGCGGTGAGCATCATGAAATTGGTGATGGAGGATGGTTGATGATGACGATGGTGACGGATTCCCCTCTCCGGAGCGCCGAACGGACTCCAGATCAGCCCTCCCAAGGAAGAATAGGGCTTGGCGGCGGCTTCGTATCGTAAAACCTGACGAATCCTTTTGTCTGATTTTTTCTCCCCGAACGTGAATATATGGAGTTGGAGTTGAGATCGGTGGAGGTCTAGGGGGCCCACAAGGTAGGAGGGCGCGCCCCCACCCACGTGGCCAGGGTGTGGGCCCCTTTCAGCTAATTATTTTGCCAATATTTTTATTAATTCCAAAAAAAAGTGTCTCCGTGAAGTTTCAGGTCATTCCGAGAACTTATTTTTGCACAAAAATAACACCATGGCAATTCTGCTGAAAACAACGTCAGTCCGGGTTAGTTCCATCTAAATCATGCAAATTAGAGTTCGAAACAAGGGCAAAAGAGTTTGGAAAAGTAGATACGTTGGAGACGTATCAACTCCCCCAAGCTTAACCCAGTGCTTGTCCTCAAGCAATTCAGTTGACAAACTAAAAGTGATAAAGAAAAACTTTTACAAACTCTGTTTGATCTTGTTGTTGCAACTTTGTAAAGCCAGCATTCAAGTTTTCAGCAAAGATTATGAACTAACCATATTCACAATAACATTTAGGTCTCACGTTTACTCATATCAGTGGCATAATCAAGTAGCGAGTAATAATAATAAATCTCGGATGACAACACTTTCTCAAAACAATCACGATATGACATAACAAGATGGTATCTCGCTAGCCCTTTCTGAGACCGCAAAACATAAATGCAGAGCACCCCTGAAGATCAAGGACTGACTAGACATTGTAATTCATGGCAAAAGAGATCCAGTCATAGTTAGGGATGGCAACGGGGCCCCATACCCGCCAAACCCATGGGGATTTCATCTATTAGGGGGTGGGGATGGGCGAAAAACATCCCCATAGGGATGTTTACCAAACTAATTTATTCCCCATAGGGTACAACGGGGATGGGGACGATATCCTATTCCCCAAACCCAATACCCATCGGGGACCCGGTTAGTAACCGTGACACTGCGGTCAACCTTAAAATATTCACAAACAAACTTGTGAAAACAAAAAAAGCTCTGAAAAAACCTTAAACCTATCTCACATCCTGACCTGAGCTGCAACCATGACCAAGAAGTCAATACGACCTAGATAGGCATTAGCAGGACAAGGACAAAACCATGTATGTATGTTGATTATAGGGTGTCATATTATGTATATGAGTATTTGTTTATGGGGATGGGGACCCTAATGGGGCCCCATTCTCTAGTGGGGCATGGGTATGGGGAAATTCCATCCCCAGTCATGTAAACGGGGATGGGGTTGGGATGATAGGGAATAGATGGGGATGGGGATGTTGTAGGTATTTGATGACCCACAAGTGTAGGGGATCTATCGTAGTCCTTTCGATAAGTAAGAGTGTCGAACCCAACGAGGAGCAGAAGGAAATGATAAGCGGTTTTCAGTAAGGTTTTCTCTGCAAGCACTGAAATAGTAGGTGATAGATAGTTTTGTGATAACACAAATAGTAACGAGCAAAAAGTAAATAAAGTAAATAAAGTGCAGCAAGGTGGCCCAATCCTTTATGTAGCAAAGGATAAGCCTGGACAAATTCTAATAATGAGAAAGGAGCTCCCGAGGACACATTGGGAATTATCGTCAAGCTAGTTTCATCACGTTCGGTACTTTGATAATTTGATATGTGGGTGGACCGACACTTGGTTACTGCCCTAACTTGGACAAGCATCCCACTTATGATTAACCCCTATTGCAAGCATCCACAACTACAAAAAGGAGTATTAAGGTAAACCTAACTGAGGGAGTCCTGGACTAGGGGGTGTCCGGATAGCCGAACTATCATCATCGGCCGGACTCCAAGACTATGAAGATACAAGATTGAAGACTTCGTCCCGTGTCCGGATGGGACTTTCCTTGGCGTGGAAGGCAAGCTTGGTGATACGGATATATAGATCTCCTACCATTGTAACCGACTTTGTGTAACCCTAGCCCTCTCCGGTGTCTATATAAACCGGATGGCTTTAGTCCATAGGACGAACAACAATCATACCATAGGCTAGCTTCTAGGGTTTAGCCTCCTTGATCTCGTGGTAGATCCACTCTTGTAATACACATCATCAATATTAATCAAGCAGGACGTAGGGTTTTACCTCCATCAAGAGGGCCCAAACCTGGGTAAAACATCGTGTCCCTTGTCTCCTATTACCATCCGCCTAGACGCACAGTTCGGGACCCCCTACCCGAGATCCGCCGGTTTTGACACCGACATTGGTGCTTTCATTGAGAGTTCCTGTGTGCCGTCACCGATAGGCTCGATGCCTTCTTCGATCATCATCAATGATGCAGTCCAGGGTGAGACCTTCCTCCCCGGACAGATCTTTGTATTCGGCGGCTTCGCACTGCGGGCCAATTCGCTTGGCCAACTGGAGCAGAACGAAAGCTACGCCCCTGGCCGTAAGGTCAGATTTGGAAGTTTGAACTTCACGGCTGACATCCGTGGGGACTTGATCCTCGATGGATTCGAGCCACAGCCGAGCTGCCGCACTGTCACGGCGAGCATGACTTAGCTCTGCAGCCGGACAGTACCCTGGAGGCCGCACTCGAACCCGCTCCGATCTTCAATTCGGAGCCGGCTGCGTAGATCGAGGACGGATGGCTAGACACCGCCTCGGGGGCTGCAACCTCTACGACGATAGAGCCGAACAATGACCTTGTCCCTCATGAAGCTCGTGACTCCGAGGTGCCGGACTCCTTGCCGGACTCCGAACCTCCCGCGCCCCCTCCGATCGAATCGGATTGGGCGCCGATCATGGAGTTCACCGCAGCGGACATCTTTCAACACTCACCTTTTGGCAACATCTTGAGTTCGCTAAAGTATCTCTCGTTATCAGGAGAGCCCTGGCCGGACTGCGGCCAGGACGGTTGGGATGCGGACGACGAAGAAATTCAAAGCCCACCCACGACCCACTTGGTAGCCACTATCGACGATCTAACCGACATGCTAGATTACGACTCCGAAGATATCAACGGTATGGACGACGATGCCAGAGACGACCAAGAACCAGCGCC